TTTAGTGATGGTTTCACTATCTCGTGTTGAACCTAATTGTACTTGTGTTGTGCGTATGTGTGTGCGTATATGGTGTGTGTGTGAGGTGTAAGTGTGCCTTTGGTTCGCCTCCACTGTTCGGAGGACAGTTTCGAAGCAACCAAAGCTTCATGTCAGCCCTCGTCGGTGGTTGCCATTCTATGGTTTGCCACTCTACTCCGAGCTCCACACCTGAACACTTTCCTCTATAATTTGGGCCGAGCAGCCGATAGCTGCAGCCATCTCTACCAGTGGCTCCTGTACAATTCTACCTCAGGTGCATGACTGTCTTGGCTGGGATGCTACTTCAACCCAACTCTTCACTAACGGATTCCTAAGATCTGCTGTATATATTTCTGTGTTTTATGTACATTTGGTGTAATATATGATTATGAAAATACTGCATTGTATTTTATAAACCCGAGATGATCTATATCCCAGAGGATACCCCAAAATAAGAACCAAAGGTTTAGTGCAAACAATATCAAAGCAGAGAAACCACGGACAATCTGGCGCAGTGAGTAGGATCCTCTTATAGATTACTCGGGGCTCGTATATTTATATGTACTTAAATTTTTCTTTCTCTTATGTTCACAGAATGTAATGTGGAACCCGGAGGAGTGGCCAACCATAGAATGGTGATTCGGAGAACCAAATGGAGGAATGGTGTTCTGGATATATTTTGGTGAAGGAGTGTGACGACTTGCGCTGCGAGTTGTATGTTAATACGGAATATTGCGTCATACGCGATCAGGTTAAGAGTCAATCTAGTCCGATCGTGCCTCCTTTTCACCGGTTACCGACGTGCATCGTCGCGAGTGTTCAGTGGTTAGGTGATTCTATTTTACCTCGCTGTATACAGGGAGATCAGTCAATTACGACTGTGGTGTACCCCTGTGGTTGTTTAAATAACTGTTTTATCTTAACCGTAGTGGCTTGTACTTTGTACACTTGTGCGTAAGCCTACCATTGCTGTTAACGATGTTTTCGCGCTAAGTCAGACTAGCCGTTGTTGTGCGATAGCCTGTGTGCCGTTTTCTTTTAACTGTTTCGCTTGCATAGTCAGTTTGGAACAGAATTTAAACTCTAAGTGTGTGCTTAGATATTTTGTACTTCTTTATAATCGATATTCTTTTTTTAGAATTATTGATTTGCGGAATTTTGATAGCGTGATTTACACGTTCATCTCTTTTGTCAATCGAATTTACATTCGTTTAATTGATTCTTTTTAATTTTAAACATGTCGCTAAACTTAGTAGAACTCGTTAAGTGTGCTAAGGAAGCAGGTCTTTCTGCCGCAGACATAAATGCTTTGGTTTTGAAGGAGGAAGTAAGATACAAAGAGCAAAACGAAAGAGAAGAAAAGCAAAGAGAACGAGAAGAGAGACAGAAAGAGCGAGATCTGAAACGCGAAGAGTTAGAGGTTCAGGAGAGGGAAAGACAGCGCGAATATGAAGCGAACGAGGCTGATAAGCAGCGCGCTCACGAGTTGGCCCTTGCTCGCGTACGACCCGAGAACCCTTCGCTAAATGACAGTCGTGATCATTACCCGAAATTAAGAATGCCTAACTTCACTGATGGTAATGACGATATAGATGATTTTTTACGTAGGTTTGAGAAATTAGCAGGTTTGCAAGGATGGGATTCTAATGACTACCATGTTTACCTCGGTTCACTCTTGGGAGGTAAGGCCTTGCAAATTTACGTAAGTTTGCCAGACGATGTCTTGAAAGATTATAGACAATTAAAAGATGCATTGTTGAAGGCATATAACGTTGACGCAGACTCCTATCGTAAAAAGTTCAAAGAAAGTAAAGCGGGTGAAGACGAAACTTACGTTCAGTTAATTACGAGAATGACCCAGTATTTAGATCACTGGTTAATAATGAGTGATGTGGAGAGGGAGTATAACTCGTTGTTCGACTTTTTGATACGCGACCAGCTGTTGAGTAACTGCCCTCTTGACCTTCGCATCTTTCTCAAAGAACGAACGTTCGTTAGCACAGTGGAAATGGCCCAAGCAGCGGATAGGTTTCGTTGCGCCCATAGAGCTGTCAAAAGTCTTAAAACGCCTGTTAAAGACAACGCTGCTTTCAAGAAAGACCCGAATGTTTCCCTTAAGGATGTGATTTGTCACCATTGTTCTAAGGCGGGTCACATACGTCCTTCTTGTCCCGAACTTAAAATCTTAAAATCTAAGACTTCTCAGAAAATAAATGCTGCATTTATGGCTAATGTAAATTACGATCACAGTATTACTTGTGAAGGATCGTTGTATGGCAAGCCGGTAAATGTACTTTTTGATTCAGGTTGCTCGTCAATTATAGTGAAGGAATCGCTCGTGCCCGCCTCCGTCAAGCGAGGAAAGGTAGTTACACTATATGACTACCTGGGGGAGCGGCGCGAATTCCCCACCGCACGTTGTTTGATTAAGAGTAAATTCCTGAATGGATGGTTTAACGTCGTGGTCGCTCCGATAAAATTCACGGATATCCTCGTCGGTATGGTGCCGGGTGTCAAGGTGTCGAGCGTGAACATACCGGGTATAAAAGTAACCGAAACTCCTCAGAGAAGCGATGTTAATGCTGTC